TTGGGCTTCACCTTTGCTTTGTTAATGGTGCCGAGGTGGTATATTGATGGAGGTCTGTCTACGTCACTTCTACTGCAAGTTTATTAGGGATAAAAACGAAAAGCTGGCACTGAGTTTGGGAGAGCCATGTGGTTGTCCTCAGTCTCCACTGGCCCTCAGTGAAGTTAAGAGTGACAATAAGAAGGAAGACACACTCGAGGCCCACAAAGTTTCTTCACACCAGCGCCAAAGACAGTGATTTTAAAAAGTCACCTCAGTTCATCTGAAGTGGTTTGTCAATAGTTTTCTGTCCAATCCCTTGAGAGCTCCTACAACACACCTGTCTGATGTCAGAAAGAAAAAACGTGTTTTGAAGTGGATAGGGCCTGGAGGCATGGAGCAGAGCCAATGAATACACTGGTGCACAATTCTTGTTTAAAAATCTTAAAAAAAAAAAAAAAGTTTACTTTCCTGTGTGTCAAAGAATAGATTTCAAAATACTGCTGCTGGTTTATAAAGCACTGAATGGTTTAGGCCCAAAATACATTTCTGACCCCCTGCTAAATTATGAACCATCCAGATCTCTCAGGTCTTCAGGGACTGGTCAGCTTTCTGTCCCCAGAGTCAGAACTAAACATGGTAAAGCAGCGTTCAGTTATTATGCTCCAAATATCTGGAACAAACTCCCAGAAACCTGCAGGTCCGCTGCAACTCTGACTACTTTTAAATCCAGGCTGAAGACTTTTCCTTTTGCCGCTGCTTTTAATTGATATATTCATATCTTAAACTGCACTGTAACTTTTATTACCTTTTTTTTAAATTAGTGTTTTTAAATGTCATTTTATAATATGTTTCTTAATGTCTTTCATTTTTTTAATAAATAAACTTACCTTTCCTTAAATTTTGTTTCACATGATACATTTTCCAGGGATTGTCTTAACATCTATACATCACATATGATAGAAGATACTTCTATCGACACTATCCACAGTCCACATGCATTATAAAAAACAAATCTTTTTTATATGAACATTGACCAAACAACCAATGACTTAAGGCTGTATTTTACTTGAATAATGGATCTGTGGAAAACCAAATATGCTGTCACAGTGCACTTACAGTACCAATTCACCGGCTCTATACAAGGAAAATACTTTTACATTACATTGCATTTAGCTGACGCTTTTGTCCAAAGCGACTTACAATAAGTACATTCGACCAGGAAGACACAACCTTGAAGAAAACAGAATCATATAAGTACATCAGGTTTCATAGAGCCAAACATTTCAAGTGCTACTCAACTGGCTTTAGGTAAGCCAGTCCTTTATTAGTATAAAAGTGCTTCGTTAATAGTTCTAACGCTCGAAGTGGAGTCGAAAGAGATGAGTTTTCAGTTTGCGCCGGAAGATGTGCAAGCTATCTGCCGTCCTGATGTCAATGGGGAGCTCATTCCACCATCTTGGAGTCAGGACAGCAAACCCACGTGTTTTTGCCGATGGGAACTTGGGTCCCCCTCGCAGCGAGGGCGCAGCGAGTCGTTTGGCTGATGCAGAGCGTAGTGCACACGCTGGGGTGTACGGTTTAACCATGTCCTGGATGTAGGAAGGGCCAGATCCATTCGCAGCATGGTAAGCAAGTACCAGTGTCCTGAAGTGGATTCTAGCAATTACCGGAAGCCAGTGAAGGCAGCGGAGGAGCGGAGTGGTGTGGGAACATTTAGGAAGGTTGAAGACCAGACGAGCCGCTGCATTCTAGATGAGCTGCAGAGGTCGGATGGCACATGCAGGTAGACCAGCCAGGAGGGAGTTGCAGTAGTCTAGGCGTGAGATGACGAGAGCCTGGACCAGAACCTGAGTCGCTTTCTGTGTCAGCTGGGGACGTATCTTCCTGATGTTGTAAAGCGTGTATCTGCAGCAACGGGTTGTAGCAGCGATGTTTGCAGTGAAGGACAGGTTGTTATCTAGGGTCACACCCAGATTCCTTGCAGTCTGAGTCGGGGAAACAACTGAGGTGCCGATGTTGATTGTTAGGTCAAGAGTGGGACAATCTTTTCCCGGGAGGTAGAGCAGCTCAGTCTTGTCAAGGTTGAGCTTGAGGTGGTGAGCAGACATCCACTGAGAGATGTCAGCTAGACAAGCAGAGATGCGTGCAACGACCTGGGTCTCTGAGCGGGGAAAGGACAGAATTAATTGGGTGTCATCAGCGTAGCAGTGGTAAGAAAAACCATGCGGGCTAATGACTGATCCGAGCGAGTTTGTGTACAGGGAGAAGAGGAGGGGACCAAGAACAGAGCCCTGAGGGACCCCTGTAGTTAATTGACAAGGGTCGGACTCAGACCCTCTCCAAGTCACCCTGTAGGTACGGTCTTTCAGGTATGAGGTGAGGAGGGAAAGAGCAGAGCCTGAAACTCCATGTTTTTGGAGAGTGCGAAGGAGGATCTGATGATTCACCGTGTCGAATGCAGCAGACAGGTCCAACAGGATGATGACAGAGGAGAGGGATGCAGTTTTGGCAGTGTGCAGTTCCTCCGTGACAGCAATGAGAGCAGTTTCTGTGGAGTGACCTGCCTTGAAACCAGACTGGTGCGGATCCAGAAGGTTGTTCTGATTGAGATAACAGGAGAGTTGTTTAAAGACAGCGCGTTCAAGTGATTTAGACAGGAACGGGAGGAGAGAGACAGGCCTGTAGTTTATAACATCAGACGGGTTGAGAGTGGGTTTCTTTAGGAAAGGGTTTACTCTTGCCTCCTTGAGACTGTTTGGAAAGTGACCAGAAGTTAGAGAAGTGTTGATGAAATGGGTGAGAAACGGTAGAATATCAGGAGCGATAGTCTGAAGGAGGTTTGAAGGGATAGGGTCCAGAGGACAGGTGGTAGGGCGGGCAGAAGTAATGAGGGCAAGAACCTCACTTGGAGAGAGAGGCGAAAAGGAGGTTAGTGTGTTGGTGGAAGGAGGGTCTGGTGACCCAGCGGTGAGTATAGGTGAGTCAGAAAAAGAAGAGCGAATATCATAAACCTTTTTTTCAAAGTGGGTAACAAAGTCGCTTGACAGAAGTGAGGAGGGGGGAGGGGCTTTTGGAGGGTCCAAGAGGGTGGAGAAGATGGAAAATAGTTTTTTAGGATTGGAATAGGAAGATTGAATCTTATCTTGAAAGAAAGTGCTTTTTGCCTGAGAGATCGAAGCAGAGAAAGAGGAGAGGAGAGCCTGATAGGTTAGGAGGTCGTCACGGTGTTTGGATTTCCACCATTTCCGCTCTGCTGCCCTAAGGACGGTTCTATTAGCACGCAGCGCATCATTTAGCCAGGGAGCAGGAGGGGACTGACGAGCCTGCCGAGATGTGAGAGGACAGAGAGAGTCCAGAGAGGATGAGAGAGTAGAGAGGAGAGTTTCTGCAGCAGAGTTTGGTGGCAGGAGTTGGAACGAGTCAGAGGAAGGGAGGGCTGAGAGCACCGACGAGGCAAAGGTAGAGGGGGAGAGGGAGCGAAGGTTACGGCGGACAAGTGCAGGATGAGAAGAGATTAGTTTGTTATGTTTGGAAAGGGGTAGAGAGAATGAAATGAAGAAGTGATCGGATGTGTGGAGCGGGTTTACAGAGAGGTTAGAAGTAGCGCAGTTCCTTGAGAATATGAGATCAAGGACATTGCCAGCTTTATGAGTCGATGGGGACGGAGACAGTGAGAAAGCAAAGGCGGTTAACAGAGATGTTAGTTTGTCTATCTTCCCCGTCTGGAGGTTGAAGTCTCCGAGAAGTATAGCGGGAGGGCCAGTTTCAGGGATGTGTGAGAGGAGATTATCTAATTCCTCCAAGAAGTCCCCCAAGGCGCCTGGTGGACGGTAGAGAACAACAATGGTTAACTGTATAGGATGGGTTACTGTGACGGCATGTAATTCAAAGGTGGAAGGAGTGAAATTAGGTAGTTTGAAGAGGGAAAAGCTCCATTTGGGAGAGAGCAGGAGACCAGTGCCACCTCCTCTGCCAGTGGGTCTGGGTGTATGGGAGAAGGAATATGCAGTGGAGAGAGCTGCTGGGGTGGATGTGTTGGATGGAGTAATCCAGGTCTCAGTGAGAGCAAGGAAATCCAGAGACTGCAGGGAGGCGTAGCCAGAGATGAAGTCAGCCTTAGGAACAGCTGACTGGCAATTCCACAGGCCACCAGAAACTAGATGTTGGATCTCAGTGGAGCACGTGGGATAGACGAGAGCAGGCCGGTTATATCGATTAGGAGATACACGGGGCCAGTGATAATTGCGAGAAGACACATGAACAGGAATGGAGAAAATACACATGATTATAGCATGAGGGGCTAGAAAACTAAAGAAAAGAGAAATAAGACACCAGCTCAATCAGAGTAGGATTTGCCTCCTCTTTGCCTCCCTCGTGACTCCCGCAGGACTCCAATGTCTTTGTCAGTCTTACTCCCGCAGGACTCCAATGTCTTTGTCAGTCTTCGGCTGTCTGACGCTGAAGCTGACGCTCCGGGAAAGAGCTACCCAAAATGGACGCCTGATTGCTCAGTTCTCACAGCTGTAGGGCCACGCCCCTCTAATTAGTTAACTATCTACAGCTGATGGGCGACAATAGACTGGCCCTGCCTATATTAATGCAGGCTTGAGTGCTGAGACCTGTGAAGCAGGTTTTGCCTGAGCAGATCTGAGATTTAAAATCTCTCAAACGCGATTTAGCCGTTTAAGCTACAATAACAATTATACAGAGTCGAATAAATGAAACAGAGAAGTCTAATTAAACAAGAATATAACTTACAGTGGTTGCTGCGTCAATAGGTAATGTCGTCACCGGGTCCAGATGCACACATCTTACTTCAGGGCATTTCCATTAACGTTCCATTAATGACAATGATGCAATTTACTATCATGTGACCTAAGTCTCATTAGGAAGCTCTGGTTAAAATCACGCACACTTGGATGCATCATGAATAGCTCTGGTTCACCTGATGGATATATTGGTGATGTTCTGTCTAATTAATCTGCTGAAATCATTGATATGAATGTTTTCTTGTTCAGGTCTCGAGCACATTGAGCAGGATGAGAGGGTTTCTGTGGGCACTGATGGCAACCTGTACTTCGCTTATGCCTTACTGAAAGACAGTCGTCAGGACTACTGTTGCTTTGCCTCCTTCACCAAAATACGCACCATCGTCCAGAAAACCGCCATGGCTGTCATTGTCAAGAGCTGTAGGTTAACCACAATACAGCCAGCTGTACTTCTGTCATATTTTTTTATTTGTATAGTACTTGATAAAAGGATCTGGGAGCACAATGTATTTTCCATAGACTATTACAAATTGTGAATCATCCCATCAAGGACAGATCCCTGAGATCTTCACTCTCTAGCAGGGCTTGTCTTGTCATGTTTATGCTCAATGATAATCTGTTATGACTACTGAATTCAGCGACACATATCGGTGAAAACAAACTATCACTACCCGTATCATTCTCAAGATGTTTTGTTTTTGTTCCAGTGAAACCTGGCAATGAATCTGCTGACAGCGGGGAAGCCAGTGAGTGATATTCACACATCAAAGCCTTCACAGTAAAACACATTCCATATCATGTGAACAGGCAGCATTGCAGGGTTGATTTGCATGTTGCAAACACTCTGCAGATAACACATTGACTCTAGGCGTGTGTGTAGTTAACTATTATTTAAACATTGATTTAAAAAAGGAGAAATTACTGAAGGAGACTGTTTTCTATGTCCAAAGCAGCTGAACCCCCCCACTGTGAGGATGCCCGGCCTGCTGCTGCCCTCTGGTGTTCAGACAGAGAAGGTGCTGCTGAGGGGAAAGCATCTGGAGCTGGAGTGTATTCCTCATGGATAGTACGTATATGTGCAATATCATCACTGTATATTGTATATTATTAAACATAATAAATAAATGGCAGATTAATAACTTAATTTAAACTTTATCGTTAATAGTTATTTACTGTAAAGCAATTATATGAAAAAATAACGTTTACACATTGTTTGTAATTCTATAACTTACGTTATTTTCATGTATAATATAATCAATGCATTGATCAATTATATATTGTATCGTAGCTGATGAGGAGATAACAAATACAAATATTTGTTAATATTACCAGACCAAACATTTAATTACCATTAACAAATTATGTTTATAAATGCTTTACAAAGTATTTATTAACTAATTACGAATGCAATATATTCATCAACTTGATAGCCACCTGAATAGTGTTTATAAACAGATTACAAACTAATTATTAGCCTTAAATATAATGTTACATCCATCTCCATATTATGTATACATCAATACATTGTTAAAATAACTTACATTTCAACATTTATAATAATCTGTAAACATTAGTAATTAATATAATAACTATTGACTAGTTACTCAACTATCAAATACCATTTGGTTATATATTTTTTAATTAATCATTCTATTCATCTGCTATTGTGGCAATTGACATGTTTTTTCATGTCGTAGTCCGACCCCGAAGGTAACATGGATGAAAATGGGAGACGCGCTGCCTTCACGGACAATATTTAACAAACATGGAAAGCTGTTGTCCATTTCCGCTGTAGATGAGAGTGACGCTGGGAAATACATGTGTAAAGCCCAAAACTCTGCTGGAGAAGCTGTCCACTACTTTGATGTAATAGTGGAAGGTAAGAGCTAATTATGCATGTATTTGTTGGTGCATTTGGTTTTGCTTGGAAGATAAAGCTGTTTTTAGTTTTTTAATTCAACAAGTGTCTTGTTAACGTCTCCCAGAGCCGCCAAAGTGGCTGTCAGAGCCTCCTCAGAGCCAGCTGACCGTGATCGGGACTGATGTTCACATCAAGTGTTCGGTCAGTGGAAAACCATTGCCGGACATTACATGGAGGAGGAATGGACGACTGTTCAAAGGTAAGTGGAAATGATTCGAGCTGTGATTTTATGCATATTATAATAACACTGGACAGGAGGGCGGTGCAGCAAGCAGCTATACACAGCTTTAACCACCAATATTATATTGATTTATACTGGAATAGTTTGAGTATTTTTGTAGTTTTGTTTAAAGTATTTTATGTATTCTTACGGTTGTTTTTCTTTGTTGCATATACATTTGAGTTAATTTCCACTGAAGTTTAACTGTGCTATGTGAAGGTAAAGTTTTGTATTCAACTGTAAAATGTCCTGCCTGAGTACGCGACTGTCTTTATGTAAAGGGTTTGTGTAAGAAGATTATAAATATTTCTGGAGAATAAGAACAAGGCTTAACATTTCGATACTGTGAATGTTTGTCATATTGATCTAAAAAACGTTATTGATTGTAAAGCAAAACCTACACTGATGTAGTCCATTGTTAAAGACTTTGATGATTTATGTATGCCTGTGTGTTCCTGTCAGACGACCCAGTGAACAACAGGCGAGTGCTCGATGACACCGTGGTGCTCCACAACGCCAAAACAGAGGACAGCGCCGTCTACCAGTGTGAGGCCTCCAACAACCACGGCAGTGTTCTGGCCAACATTAACATCATGGTCATAAGTGAGTATTACAGTCAAACTTTACACAGCCAGCGAGGACAAATGTATTGTCTTATTAACACAATGGCCAATTGATCAGGTACACCTGCCTCTGGTAAATGTTGTATAGTTTGTTTGAGATCAAAAGCATTCCACAGCTCCTTTACATTTTGAGGTGGTTTTATTCTCTCTACAAACATTGTTTTTTCTGATCACAAAAGGTACAATTGCACATTATCCTCAATCAGCCTGCATTCCATCCATAAAGCCGAGTTTGACTTAGCCACGGCCACTCGTAATAACTCAAGTCTTGAGAGAAGAAAACCCTCTCAGCATCACCTTTTTTTGATAACACTTATGTTTCAGTTCTTCTTCTTAATGCAACCAACATTTGTAAGAAATATGCAAATGTATTTTTTGAATGAAAAAAAAACCTTGACATAACTGAAAATGTCAAAAGAATTCTCAGCACTTGGGCCTCTATAATAGATCATTTATCTCTCAAGTATTGCAAGAGGTGTGATGCCTGTGCCTGCATCTGAATTATATCTGTATTTTCAGTTATCTGCTCGCTTTCTTTCTTGTGGAAAAAAATCACTCATGGGCAATAACTTGACATTTGAGCTGCTGTTATCTCTCCTCCTTACCTTGCTCTTAGATATGGCTCCTTTGATACTGACAAGGGACTACCAAGAGTACGCTGTAGTATTAGGAGGGGACATCCTCCTGAACTGCAGTGTTTTCAGCTCTCCGCCATCCAAAATCTCCTGGTAAGTAATCACCCAGAAGAACAGGTATATTAGTCTGTCATTTTGAAACATATATAGTGTTAAAACAGAAAAACTCTACATCTTTTTCAATGTGAGAGGTTTTTTCCAGGGGACAGTACATACCGCTTTATCAGTCAGTTTGAAATCAGTTCATCAGGAATAAACCGGAGCACATACTCACTGCAGTGAATCACGCTAGCAATGAGTGACACACTGCTTCAGGTGTTGGCATGACATAGATGTGACATTTATACTTGTTTAATGGGATAATCCTCCCCCTTGTCTTGAAATTGAGCTAATTGTATCTAAGAAATATCACTGCAGCTCTGCTACAGATCCACAGAAGGGAAATTGGATATCAGACGATCCATAATACGATAGCTTTACAAGAACCTTTTATGTTTAGCAAAGATTCAATTTCAATTCATTGAAATCAAAAGGAAAAAATAAATTAGGGCAAAAGAACAAGGTAGAATAATATACTTAAGATGATATATTGTATGTATGTAAAATAAGACTGTGACGGGGCTCTATTTGTCCGTTCAAAAAACACTGGCCTAGTCGGTTGGGTTAAGCTCCAAAACTTTATTTATAGCACCAAAAACAAAAAACGGAACCAGCACAATTTAAACAACAAAATAAAAATCCAAAACAGGCCGTCCCTTTTGAGCTCATAGCCCCTCCCACAGGCTTACCGTCAACAGGTGACAACAATTAAACTTCAAACCACATTTCAACATAAAACTCCGACCCAAACATAAACAGGTTAACCACCTCTTAACATAATCATTCCCCATAATTAACAAACGTAAAATAAATAAGAAATTGCATGGTTCATTTCAGGAATTTAAAACACGGAAGTGATGCGCCTTCCCCTTTTCTCCGAAATGTTTGGTGTGTGTGTGTCGGCTGTCAGTGGCGGAGTCAGTTACTCTGTGACCCGCTCCGTCACAAAGACTTACACCTAAATGACAATTGTAAAAATGAAATGGGCATGATTTACTGATCTTAATGAAATACCTGGAGTTGTTGCATCTTAATTGGCTAAAACGTTCTCTCCTAGGGCCAGAGATGACACGCCGGAAACCATTGATGGGATACGCTTTTTCCCTCTAAACGAATCTTTGCAAATCATCAGTGCAGACAAAGAAGACAGTGGGAGATACGAGTGTGTTGCCTCTAACAGCGAGGGCAAGTCTGCTATCACTGCTGTGCTGGATGTGAAAGGTATTTCAGTGACATGATTAGAGCTTTCTTTAAGCAGGAGAAAAAGTCACTGCATACAATTATTCAATATACAGATATTCACCCAAATGAAAAAAGGAGTTACATTTGCAAACCACATTATAAATACAATTTAAGTTTGATTGTTTTTAACCCACGCTGCTGTGATGAATAAAGTTATAACCCAGACATTTTTGGTTCTAAAAACATTCTGAGAATTTACCATTCATTGTTCTAGGAATGTTTTCAGCGGGAAGTTTTCTTTTGGTTCCCAGAATGTTCTTCTGAAAGGTAGGATAACTTTCTCTAAAAACATTCTTAAAATGTTTGGTAATAACTTTCTTAAGATATTTTTGATAACCTTCTTAAGATGTTTTTGATAACATTGTTAGAACATTATGCCCTACTGTTCTTAAAACTTTTTCAGCGGGATGTTTTATTTTGGTTCCCAGAATGTTCTTCTGAAAGGTAGGATAACTTTCTCTAAAAACATTCTTAAAATGCTTGGTAATAACCTTTTTTTAATGTTTTTGATAACATTGTTAGAACATTATGCCCTACTATTCTTAAAACGTTTTCAGCTGCAAGTTAGATTTGTTCATGTTGCCAGAATGTTATTATTTTAGAGTAGGATAACGTGCTTTGTCGTTCCGATTTATCAGAAGTCTTTTTTTTTCTTTTTCTTTTTAAAAATGCGACCAGCAGCTAGTACAAGTCTCTGTCGGTGTCACATGTACTGGAGGGGACCCAGAATCAGACTCGGAATCAGCTGGTGAAAGTAGGCAGGGGGGGGGGGGGGGGGAGGAGAGAGAGAGAGAGAGAGAGAGAGACACACAGTAGAAACAAACACATACAAACACTAACAGTGACAGTCAGTCTGTTATTCTATATGTCTGTTGGTCTCAAATCTAAAGGGTGCAATAACTATTTGTATCCAATATGCATAAACAGCGGACACTGTTTATACGCAGCCCTCACAAACCACACACGGCCAGATAGCTTATCTAACAGTTAGAACCTACATACGAGACACAACCTATAGTCAGAAAAAAGTGTGATTATTTTCTGATATTTTACACTTATGATATTATGAATACTGTGGGCCTTCATACCTTAGTGTGATTAGTGCATGTGAGTGAATATTGGCATGCAAATTAGTTTTTATACGTCCTATTCATTGTCTCAATGCGCTCATACATCTTAAGAAAGTTATCACCAAAAATGTGAAGAATGTTTTTAAAGAACGTTATCCTACCTTTCAGAAGAACATTCTGGAAACCAAAATAAAACGTCCCGCTGAAAACATTCCTAGAACAATGAATGGTAACATTCTCAGAATTTTTGAGAACCAACAATGTCTATCTGGGAACTCACACATGCCACCACAAACATGCAATATCTGCTTACAGCTTATCATGAATTACGTGCTTGCTTGTTTTTTTCAAAAGGAAAATATGGTGACATCAGATTTTTCAAACAAATGCAACAAGTTTGTTTTTTAAAGCGCTCTAGAAATAAATCTGATGTTGATCATGACCGTGTTCATATTTGCCATCACAGGAACATTTTATAAAAAAAGAATAACATCCTGAAAACATTTTCAGAATGTTTCTTGGAGAATGATCTTAATTTGTTATCATGTAACATTGAGGGAACGTTTTATAAAGAATATCTTTAATGTGTTACCCCAACAACGTCCAAAACACATCCTTAGAATGTTGCAGGCAAAACGTTCCACTTTGTCAACATATTACATTAAAGGAACATTTTATAAAACACTTTCTGTCATCTCAGGCCTCAATAACATCCTCAAAACATCCTCTGAATGTTGCAGTTAAAACGTTATGTCTTAGTTAACCTTAAACCTTATAGGCAGGGCTGCACATAACTGGTCCGCATTTGCGCACCAACATTGAGAGAGAGAGAGGGAGAGGGAGAAGAGGGAGAGAGAGAAGGGAGGAGAGAGAGAGAAGAGAGGAGAGAGAAGAGAGAAAGATATTTGCGAGTTGCATATGAACCATAGACTGTATATATAAAGATATGAACTCAGGGCCGGCCCGTAGCACAGGCGTAATCGATGTTCGCCTAGGGCGCCAGATCTGTGGAGGCGCTGCGCTGGCAGTTTTGGGAGGGAAAAACATTTTTTTGGCCATTGGTGCTCATCCTAATTTTCGGCCTTGATGTAACGATATTCACAATTAAGTAAATGTATACCCTTTTCACCCCGGTTACACGTTTCATTTGCCCTATACGATGGGCGCTGTAAGTGATGAAAATGGGGGATGTTGGCTTATCTGGCAACCGCAGCTCACAGCCAAAATGCGAGTGAGTGAGGGAGAGAGGGAGGGTGCACCGGTACCGGCGCTGTTATTAGAATCTGGTGCTAGCTGCTCTAACGGATATAAGAAGAAGATGTTTCTAGAATAATGTGGAGAGAGAGTCCTCTCCAGTCAGACTGAGAGGCTGATAATACAGCTCAGTGAGGTAAAGGACTCTTGAGTGTTTAGATAGTTAACGTTAGTCTAAGTTCAAACGATTTGGTCACAATTTATGTAAACACATATTTCCAAGGCACTCCTTTATAATTATTGGGATAAACAGGTTTGAAATCATTCCAATGTATACTATAGGACAGTAACCAAAAATATCCTATAAAACTGGAGAGATACATTTTTTTTTTTTTAAGGTAAAATAAGATATGAAACAACACAAATAAAATAAGTTACATCCATTTGTTATTGGCTATGGTAGGTTATTGGTTATGTTCACATACTTATTTGATTACATCCACTTGTCTAAGATGACAACAGAGACTTTCGACCCAAACCCAGCTGTTGACTTGTGGATGCAAGCAGCTAATCACAGACTCAACCAGAGAGAAAGTAGTAGGCCTACATCATCAGCTACCATGTCTGACAGAGAGGAAGACAGTGAGGAGAACAGTCAGGAGGGTAGTGATGACAGCTTGTAGGATTACTGCTCGTGCTAATGTTGTCTTGTGTTCACCTCTGCATGTGTGTTCTGTGTTCACCTCTGCATGTGTGTTCAGTGCCGTGTGTCTGGCAAATAAAGACCCCCTCAAAAGTTACGGTTTATTTCATTTTAAGGATGAGCACCAAGCAACATCTCCAGGTGCTCCTTTGAGAACCAGGGCAAAAAAGTGATGTGCACCCCTGCTTATAGGAACATTATTTGAAATAATAAACATCCTAAAAAGATTCAAACGTTTCTTTAAAACATTATTAGAACCTGTAGTTAATGTTAGCCAAAGTTGTGAGAACGTTCCCCGCTAGCTGGGAACTAGGTGGTCTGTAAGGTCTGTTGAAACATGCTTGTGCTAGAAAGCCAATAAATATCTTAGCATCCAGACCAACAATTCATCTTTTATTGATTGGTAGTATAAGAAGATGCTGCATAAATAATAATGTGGTGGAACATATTTTGAAATCTATTTTTCATGAATGAAAATCACCATGAAATGTATTGAGCAAAATCCGTACATTTCCATCGAGGAGGCAGTTACTGCGAGAGGGACACATTAATAAACTAAATAAATTGGCTGAACTTCAAATACATGCATCTCATTTGCAGCATGCAGGCATTATAAATCATTATTCTCTCTGGCTGCACCCTATCTTATCTTTTTTGATGTGTTTTTGTTCTTGGGATTTGTTCTTATCTTTAGACCCTACACACATAGTATACCCACCTCAGGACGTGCAGGTCATCAGTGGCACCACAGCCCAGCTGATGTGCCAGGCAGAGTATGATAAAAGCCTGCAGAGCACGTTTGAGGTGGTATGGAGGAAGGATGGTGAAGAGATCCCACTTTTGTCTGAAGAAAATTCCAGGTAGGCTCCTGAGGTTTGAAAGTGTTTCCATTCGTTTTCAAGTGTTTTTTTTCTCCTAAAATGGGTTTGTTCTGAGTCTTTATCTCTTTGCTTATCCTCAGGAGAAAAAATGCATTACAGGTCCAGAAAGCTTTGTGCTTATCCTACTCAGTAGATGGTCAAAGACAGGGGATTTTGCAATTTTTTGTCTACTTAATAAATTGCCTGATTACCTCTGCCAAGTCTTTGCTGGCCTGCTTAGTGCGTAGGTTGTTATCTAAGAAAAAACAACACATTTTTTGTAAGATTTACTAGAAAGCTGGAAAGGCTCTAGCAGAAACTATTGCATTTTAAACGACCTAGCACATAATAATCTATAATTATCTAGCACTATGTTCATTTTGATGAAGATTTAAGAAAAAGCGTTTCCTATTTTACTTCATTATTAACAATGCAGAGGATTGTGTAGCTTTTGCCGGAGGTGCAAGATGCTTTCTGACTGTTTAATTAATTGAACTTGAATTCTATCTATGTACTAACAAATGCATTTTTATGTTCAGATACTTTGCGGACTATGGCATGCTGCAAATCATGAGTGTGAACCTGAGCGATCAGGGAGCGTACACGTGCGTTGCCAGAACCAGCCTCGATGAGGACAATGCCACTGCACTGCTCACCGTGCTGGGTGAGATGGTTGTGTAAATAATATAGTATGGAATATCATTCATTATTGACTAGACATTCCTTGAAAGGGCTCAGAATATAGACAGTGTTATAAATATTTGAAAACAGTGGGTTGCATTGTGGTTTTGATGTCATTGTAATGTTTCAGCTCTCTACATGTTTCAGATTATAAATTGACTTTTGATCCTGTTGTATTTGTTTTGTTTTGCAGATGTTCCCGATGCTCCCAAAATAGTAGAGATTTCAGAACTTCAGAGTCCGAGGAATATTAGCCTGTATTGGATATCCGGGAGTGATCACAACAGCTCTGTGAGAGGTGAACAGTTAGTGTAGAAGAAGTAGAACAGCTGATGTCTGAAAATAGGTGTTAGTGGTGCTAAATAATGCAACAGAAAAACAACATGTTCTCAGGGGTCATCAACAGCTGTGACCTGCTGTGACTATTAGTTGTTACAATTAAGTTTACAGCCCACATAACGATGTAATTACTTTTTAATTATGGTATTTCAAAATAAATAGAGTGAGGAAAAAAGTTGTGTAGGTTGAGTGAATGGAATAGAATGTTTTTCTGCAGTTACTGTAGAAAACAACATAATAGGATATTAGCAGATACATGATTTACATGCTCACACCCAATTATATTTTACTTAAGTAGCAATCATATAATGTAAAAATAAATGTCTCAAATTAGAAGTACTCAAATTCTGCATTAAAATTAAAGTAAAAGTACAATAGTGCTTAAAATATATTTAAATTAGTTCATTTAAAAGTACTCACAACTGGAATTCAGAATCATAAATATAATAAGATGCATTAATGTGTTCATTACCTAAATATAGTAGCTGGTAAGGAGGACATTTTAACTACTCTACATAAAGCTGATTAGCTTAATCCATTATATTTCTTCAGAATTTCTGAGAGTATACTTTGTATTATGATTCTGAATCTGAAAAGTAGTAACTAAAGCTTTAAAATAAATGCAGTGTAGTCACAAGTACAAAAAAATATAAATATATATAACAATGGAAATAATTAAGTTGGAAACAAGTAGCTTGTACAAGTACAGTACTTTAATATCCCTGCACACCTACTGGCACTTTCAGCTAATTTTGTTCAGTGAGTGCTGTCTGGATGAACAATCCCTAACACGTAAATAAGTTGAACTTTAACACCTAAAGTCTGCAGACTAGTGTTAAACCCTCCATTACAAATGTTCTTTGATACAAGTTAAAATCTAGATGCTGCGCATTGTCATGTTTTCTCTGAGAGTGAACAGATTCGGCTGCATTGATCACTGTTAAGTGCTAACTAAAGTTATTTCACAAGAAAAGGCTGCAAGTGGCAGTGAAGTGTTCAGGAACCTGGCACAGAAGCTTGTGTCTCATTTATACTTCAAAAAGGGTCTCATTTATTTTTGGAAACTTGTGATGAAAATATGTTATATCAAGTGTGTCCTTGTAGTGTTTATGTGCTTTGATGTGTGTTATCTATGATCAGAATAGACATGCCTGAAGAAGATCCTTTGTTAGTGTAAAATGTGCTGTTTTGTGTTTAATTAAACATCTTGTAGCAGCACACATGAGTTATGAGGCCAGAAATTCTCTAAACGATATCCGTGGATCAGTTTGGCTATAAGCACCAAGTGAATGTGTGTGAAGAAATATTAAAATGATCTGATTAATGGACTTCTGTGCTAGTCATGGATTGGCCATAACAAACACCATGTTCGAACATAAGGATGCTCATAAGTGTACGTGGTACCAGAGCACCCTAGGCAGAAGGTCCATGATCGATTTCGTTATCGTATCATCGGACCTGAGGCCGTATGTTTTGGACACTCGGGTAAAGAGAGGGGCGGAGTTGTCAACTGATCACCATCTGGTGGTGAGTTGGGTCGAGTGGCGGGGGAAGCCTCTGGATAGACCTGGTAAGCCCAAACGTGTAGTTCGGGTGAACTGGGAACGTCTGGAGGAGGCCCAAGTTCAGGAGGCCTTCAACTCACACCTCCGGCGGAGCTTTTCGGGCATTCCTGTGGAGGTTGGGGACATTGAACCAGAGTGGTCGGTGTTCAAAGCCTCTATTGCCGAAGCCGCGGCGGGGAGCTGTGGTCTCAAGGTCCTAGGTGCCTCAAGGGGCGGTAACCCTCGAACCTCCTGGTGGACACCGGTGGTCAGGGAAGCCGTCCGACTGAAGAAGGAGGCCTTCAGGGATTTGTTATCCCGGGGGACTCCCGAGGCAGTTGCAAGGTACCGACAGGCCCGAAGGGCAGCAGCCTCATCCGTGGCCGAGGCAAAGCAGCGGGTGTGGGAGAAGTTCGGAGAAGACATGGAGAAGGACTTTCGGGCGGCACCAAAGTTGTTCTGGAAAACTGTCCGACACCTCAGGAGGGGGAAGCAGGGAACCATCCAAGCTGTGTACAGTAAGGATGGGACGTTGTTGACCTCAACTGATGGAGTGTTAGGGCGTTGGAAGGAACACTTTGAGGAACTCCTGAACCCGACAACTCCGCCCTCTATGTTAGAGGCAGAGCTGGAGTATGACGGGGGATCAACACCAATCTCCCGGGGGGAGGTCACTGAGGTCGTCAAACAACTCCACAGTGGCAAAGCCCCGGGGGTGGATGAGATCCGCCCGGAAATGCTGAAGGCTCTGGGTGTTGAGGGACTGTCATGGTTGACACGTCTCATCAACGTTGCGTGGAAGTCGGAAACAGTACCGAAGGAGTGGCAGACCGGGGTGGTGGTTCCCCTATTTAAAAAGGGGGATCAGAGGGTGTGTGCCAATTACAGAGGCATCACACTACTCAGCCTCCCCGGGAAAGTTTACTCTAAGGTACTCGAAAGGAGGGTCAGGCCGATTGTCGAACCTCAGATTGAGGAGGAACAATGCGGATTCCGTCCTGGTCGTGGAACGACGGATCAGCTTTTTACTCTTGCAAGGATCCTGGAGGGGGCCTGGGAGTACGCTTATCCGGTCTACATGTGTTTTGTAGACTTGGAGAAGGCGTATGACCGAGTTCCCAGGGAGTTACTGTGGGAGGTGCTGCGGGAGTATGGGGTGAGAGGGTCTCTACTCAGGGCCATCCAATCTCTGTACTCCCAAAGCGAGAGCTGTGTCCGGGTCCTCGGCAGTAAGTCGGACCCATTTCCGGTGAGGGTTGGCCTCCGCCAGGGCTGCGCTTTGTCACCAATCCTGTTTGTAATATACATGGATCGGATTTCGAGGCGTAGTCATGGGGGAGGGGGGTCTGCAGTTCGGTGGACTAAGGATTGCACCACTGCTTTTTGCAGATGATGTGGTTCTAATGGCTTCATCGGTCTGCGACCTTCAGCACTCACTGGATCGGTTCGCAACCGAGTGTGAAGCGGCTGGGATGAGGATCAGCACCTCCAAATCTGAGGCCATGGTTCTCAGCAGGAAACCGATGGACTGTCCACTCCAGGTAGGGAATGAGTCCTTACCCCAAGTGAAGGAGTTCAAGTATCTCGGGGTCTTGTTCTCGAGTGAGGGAACAATGGAGCGTGAGATGGGCCGGAGAATCGGAGCAGCGGGAGCGGTACTGCAGTCGCTTTACCGCACCGTTGTGACGAAAAGGGAGCTGAGCCAGAAGGCAAAGCTCTCGGTCTTCCGGGCCATTTTCGTTCCTACCCTCACCTATGGTCATGAAGGATGGGTCATGACCGAAAGAACGAGATCGCGGATACAAGCGGCCGAGATGGGTTTTCTCCGCAGGGTGGCTGGTGTCTCCCTTAGGGATAAGGTGAGAAGTTCGGTCATCAGGGAGGGACTCGGAGTTGAGCCGCTCCTCCTTCGCGTCGAAAGGAGCCAGTTGAGGTGGTTCGGGGCACCTAGTTAGGATGCCACCTGGGCGCCTCCCTAGGGAGGTGTTCCAGGCACGTCCAGCTGGGAAGAGACCAAGGGGTAGACCTAGGACCAGGTGGAGGGATTATATCTCTTCGCTGGCCTGGGAGCGCCTTGGGATCCCCCAGTCAGAGCTGGTTGATGTCGCCAGGGAAAAGAAAGTTTGGGGCTCTCTGCTGGAACTGCTACCCCCGCGACCCGACCACGGATAAGCGGGAGAAGATGGATGGATGGATGGATGATTAATTTACCTTGGAAATTGCCAAAAGGCTTTGCATGAAATCACTCCCTTGTTTACTCATTTATTTTACCCTACATGATGAACATTCAGTAACAAGTTGTTAACAGTGATGTTCGAAACTTCATTTTTGACACACCTACGTGGCAGAATGATTGTGCACATTTGACATTAAGGAGCAATTGCATTAGTGGATTTTTCGACAAAGAGTGGTTAAGTCTAGTAGTCAAAAAAACTATAATTCTTGAGCTCGATAAAAAACATCTAATGGTTCATTAAAGATGAGAAACGATTGGAGAGGACTACTGAAAAGGCACTAGGTTGCTGGAGAATTTAACAGCTCTGTTCATGACACCACTTAGATATGTATAATATCGTCATTTTACTTGGTTAAAAATGTTCCTATAAAAATAAAATGTATGTAAACCTGAAACTATAACTTTCTTTTGGCCTTTTGGGGTCAATGAAACATTGATATTTCTTAACTTTTTAGGTTGAGTTTAAAAAAATGTGTGTACCAACAACCCTTGAGCTTTGTGCTAAACCTAATCACCCCTGACAAGCTTTGTAATTAACGCACTGATATGAGCAAACTCTAAGAAAAGGTGTTTATGAGAACGTTCAATTGTTCCTTTATTTATTTTGAGAAAGTGTGGAACATGAACTGTAGACATAATGTATGTTGGACTTTAGAAAAGAATCAAAGGAGTGTGAAGCATGCTTTCTCAGCTGTATTGATGATCTGTTGTACAGTGACTGATCATGAGGATTTCTTCTCTCGTCTGTGAGCACAGAGTTTATAGTGGAGTACGAGGAGAGCCAATGGGAGCCCGGAAGGTGGCGGGAGCTACAGAAAGTCCCCGGTAACCAGGCAACAGCGGAGCTGGCACTACATGGTAACCTTAACTACCAGTTCAGAGTGTATGCTGTTAATGCTGTTGGACCTGGACCCCCCAGTGAGCCCACTGAGAGACACAAAACACCCCCTGCTGGTGAGACTCGCTCCCTTTAATTATCATGTTCTGCTTTGGGTCTCTGTTGATTGTGAAAGCATGCAAAGTTTTAACAATTTGTGAAAAGTGCAGAGAGTTGCTGAGTGGAGAGGCCAACCTTATTCCATTGGACTTTTTCTTGCAGTGGGGGGTATGGATATATTTGGGTCTCGGAAGCCCTTAAATCGCCAATTATCAGCTCCAGCACACGATGCTGCTTAATCATGACTCTCATTTGAATATGCTTGTGTGTCAAATAAGGATACTTGTGCTACAACTACCAAATATTCTGTTTTAGCTGAACAACATTGAGGGATATTTGCATTTTGGCAGTAAAAGACAAGAGTCAAAATAGTTAGATTCACTCAATCATGCTATTTTTCTATATATTCATTATATTATTTTACATTTCTGTTCAAAGCTCCTGAAAAAAACCCAGAAAACATCAAAATTCAAGGCCATTCTCCTAATCAAATGGACATTAGCTGGGAGGTAAGGTATATATTATGGATCTGTATACAAATATAAACAACTGATATTATTGTATTTTGATTATATTTCTAAGACATCAACACTCTATCCTCTTGTAGCCGCTGTTGCCAATTGAACACAATGGCCCAGGCCTCGAGTACAGGGTGCGCTATAGAAAACTGGGGGTGGGAGATGAATGGAAGTTGCATATGGTCAACAGACACTCCTTTGTCGTGAGGAACACGTCCACGTTTGTCCCCTACGAGATCGAAATTCAGAGCAGGAACAGCCATGGCTGGGGGCCAGAACCTAAAATCGTCACTGGTTACTCTGGAGAAGATGGTGAGTGTGATGCAAACGTAAGACTTCCTCAAACATATATACTGTCATTATCATATTTCAATCTATGTGTACATGCTACTCACTTCACTTGTTCTTTAAAACATACCCTTAAGGCTGAACTAGTACATGTACAGTAGCTGTTGTTTTGCTTTTGACTTACTTTGAACTCTTTGTGTTATCAAATCCAACACCGTCTTCAGTCGTCTTTTGGCATTGTCTGCGGGAAAATGTGTCAGGTTAAGTTCTTTCTTTTTCTCATGGTTTTTAACCCTGTGCAGTAGTGACTTTTCCTCCCCCTCTGCTTAGAAAAAAAAACTTCTGTGCTAAATCCAGCAGGTGGCAGATAACCTTTGTAGAGCAGAGGGGTGTCAAATGTCCACTTCTGTCTCAGAAGCTGTGGGAGATTTGACAGATCACGACACACTTTTCGCTTTGGGCCTATTGAAGCCCAATGGCTGCTTCCCTGTCTCTGCTGTGCTTCTCTCCTTTCCTACTCCCAGTTCAGTCAATTGTAGAGCAGACATATAGAGAGTGTTTTAATTTCATGTTTGGTGTTGTTTTTGTCCTTACTGAAGAAGAAAAAACGACAAATCTGCCTCAGTTGGTGTCCTGCTGAGTTTGTATTTGTGCAAACGACAACCAGCTTCTCCGTTTTATTTGCTACCAAAACCAGCAAAAAAGCTAATTTCAGCACAGCCTGAACAAGAATAATGACCTGTTATGGCTTCAACATAACAGGTCAGACCACCATCGATGAGAGCGTTTTTGTCCAACATGATTATTTTGTTGTTTAACCCTCTGTATCTGCAAGTATTTCTTCAGTTGATTTTCTTTCTTTACAGCTGTAAATGGTATTGTTAAAGAGTTGCTTCAAAGGTATCCTGCTGTTAGCAGTGCGTCTGTTTTCCTGACCTAACTCTTTCTGTTCTCCAGTCCCGACCGCAGCACCACGGGACATAGCGGTGGAGGTGATCAACACCACTGTTTTGAGAGTTAGCTGGACCCCCGCCCCCGCCGCCACAGTGAGAGGTCATCTCGGGGGCTACCATGTACGTTGTTTTTATGGTCCTGGAACCTGATTTCTTTCAGACGAAGTTGTGTAACTGCAGAATTTCAATAGCAGCAGAGAAACTCTGAATATCAAAGCTTCTTATTAAATATAGTAATCACTTTGGTTTATATGAGATAAGCCTTGTAAAATGATGAAATCTTGTTTCCATATTCATTTTGCAGCGCTGCTTCTAAAAATATAAATAAACAATTAATATCTGCTTGAGTGCAGTGCATCCAAACACATCGAGCTGTGCATAGAACAACAAAGAAAATGAAAAAAGGAGGTAGCAGGAGAGGTGCCAATTCACCTCCTAGGCCACCTCAAAACTGCTCCCTTTGTGCCGGGTACCTGGCATCCTCTCTGCTCTGCCACCTCTCCTATCTGCATGGGGTTGCGTGTGTGCATGTATATCCTCTGTTTGTGTAATGTGTGTAAACACAACAGAGTGGAGAAAGACATTTCCCTGTCAGGGATTAATGTCTTCTTCTTCTTCTTCTTCTTCTTCTTCTTCTTCTTCTTCTTCTTTCTTCTTCTTCTTCTTCTTCTTCTCGGATTCTGATTCTTCTTGTCTCTGCTCTGCTTCTTCTTCTTATTCTGCTTCTTTCTTCTTGCTTCTTCGTTCTTCTGTCTTCTTATTATTCTCTCTTATCGTATTCTTCTTCTTCTTCTTCTTCTTCTTCTTCTTCTTCTTCTTCTTCTTCTTCTTCTTCTTCTTCTTCTGAGATTAAGTTGATATAACTTTGCTGATAATCATTGTTGGCACACCAGTCATAATTTCGTTTTAATAAAACTCAGCTACATGTTTGAGCAGGGAAGAGAGATCTTAGCGCATCTGGTCCCTCCAGAGACGCAATATGGAGACGTTTTGAAATGTGACCTGACGTACTTAAAGCTGTCCGCTTGTGATCGCATGTTAATGCCAGGTCTGAACAGAGCCATGCTGTAGGCACAAAGGGGTTATTAGAGTCAAATCAAGTAAAATACATTGCCTGGATTGATTTCCTGGTGCAGTTAGATATTTCTCGTTATAACATATATTCCTAAGGTTGAACCCCTTTCACTTGCCTCTTGAGTGTGTCAAAACCAGATCTAAAAGATAAAAGAGACGCCACTAACTTTCACAGTTTTTTTTATATAAGTGCTATTTGAATAATGGACGATTGAAAGACAAAACAATTCATAATGTGATCTCACAATAGGGAATGCTTTTCGTTTCTGGGTGTTACATCCCGAAAATCTTAGACACAGCCCTGAACTAAATATTCTAGAGTGGGCTTTAGATAGTAGGGTAACTAAGTAATGCTGATTATATAGTAACACATTACTTGGCTTGTAAAGCATAAAACTCAGTTTCCTACAAATAAAAGTATATGTCATTTAAATTCAACAAATATCATCATGGCAATGACCACAAAAATAAAACATTATTATTAAATACTTTTTATATCTACATGTATGTTAAATCACCTTTTACTCACTGTCACCTGTGAAGGCATTAACAGTGTCTTTGCAGGGACAATGACAACCTGACTATAGGAAACAGTTACTCAGACACACACCATCACACGAACAAAGCAACACCTCCCATTAACAGTTCATATTTGATGTCTAATATCAGATTTCTGCCTAATTAAAAGGGAAACCAGGCATTAATTGCTGCTCCTCAACTTTGTCTTTGTCACCGTTCTGCCATTATCGCTATCTTTCTCTTCCCTCCCTCCTCTCTCTGCTCTCGGTTAAGACGTGTTCCTCATCACAATCTTCCATTGCTTCCCCCTTTACAGGTTCACTGGGTGAGGAAACGAAGTTTGCTGAATCCGAACAACATTTTGGATGAGCGCCAGTCCCTGTCTTTTCCTGGGAAGAGGACTCATGCCATCGTGCCGGGCCTCAAGCCTTTCTCTGAGTACAGACTCACTGTCAATGTTTTCAACAAGAAGGGCAATGGGCCCAACAGTGACCCGGTCACATTCAACACTCCAGAGGGAGGTGAGGTGACACAAACACACAACATGCAGGTGCTCCTCACACACTTATAAATAACTCTGCTAAGTACATTATAGGAATATCAGTCAAGCTTGCAGAAAATCCCGTTAGGAAATGATGATATTTAATGTGATTCAACCAACAAAACAATAACTTTTAACAAAAGCACAGATTTAATTTATAGTTAAGTCCTCCGCCACAATTTTTCGCATTTTGTCACTTAACCTTGATACTTGAGCTTGATGTTATAGCATAAGAAATGTGCCATGTGTTATGCTAGAATGAGTTTATAATAGTATGCTGCTAAAAGAAGGACATGTCTTTGTGCTCACTGTAAATCAGAGTTGAATGTCTACTTTAAAGCAGGATTTGTATCTGCACAACTGTCAATAGTTTGCAACTTACACAGGTGTAACACAGACACTTGAAAACCATCGTTCACATACACTGAGAATTTATAATGAAATCTATGCATATTCATAGATTCTCGATTTTTCAGAGGGTCAAAGACCATATCTTGTTAAAAAATAACAAGGACTACTTGATTTTACTACTTTTTACTGGCACACTAATTACAAATAAAGTTGTTTAAGGTATCAAAGCAGGTCTGAAATAAAGTGGTGACAATAATGTTTAGCTTGGAGACCAGGAGGAAGAAATTTGTGCGTGAAAATACTTGTGAAAGGCTGCTCCATGTTGCAGCCTTGTGAAAAGACAAAGCTGCTAAAAACAGGCAAATTGTCATATACGCGTCTTCAGTGTGTTAGTCATCTGTTTAACAAACAAGAAAAGGCAAAAGGAAGCTTAAATAACAGAAGAAATATCAGCCATAAAAAGACACTTAAAACAACAGAGAAAAATCACTGACCTTTGATGTAATTTGATCTACTGAAACATGTCTTTACAGTTGCACATTAACATTACTGTCACTCCTATAGCTCCTGCACAAGTACCCATCCTGACTGCCTCCAACGCCCAGATAGACTCCATACTGCTGGTGTGGGGCCCGCCGCGGGAAGCCAACGGCATCCTTACTGGTTATCTCCTGCAGCACCACCTCAGTATGTACACGCACGCACGCACGCACACACACACACGCGCACACACACGTGACTAATTACTCATTGACTTACTCAGTGTCGACCTTTTGCCCTATGTAATGTTTCCCATGAATAGATTTCTCTTTGCTGTAGCTCAAGCTTTATCTGTAGTGCAAGGCGCTGTGTGCGAAGTGTAAGCCAAAGTGTAGCTGCACTGCTGGTGCTCTGCGACACCACAGTTTATCTTTGAGTCTACAGGTTGAATGTTATAACACTGGAAAAATACTACACACAATCAATGACCCTTCTTCCATCTCCTCTTCTCTTCAATGTTATCATACCAGACACTAGGTAGGACTGTTTAACACTAAAAGCTGCTAAGTGGTCGTAATTGTGCAGCCTGCTTCAATACAGATTGTGGTTTGACAAGTGTTTCTTATCTTGTATCCTCCAGGATTGCAGGTTTCCTTTTTAAAAAAACAACTACTTTTTAAGTGCCTCTTATTCAAAATTATTTGGCATTTAGTACTCTGTACATTTCCGTCTTCAGAATTAAAACCTGAAACCCTTCTGAAATCTTTTGTGTAAAATGTGAAGGCAGAGACAGCCCTTTGCCGCCTCCACCAGCACCCACTGAGTCTGGCCAGCTCTTCAATACACTCTGTCCCCCTCTCCTTTCTGCTTTTTCCCATATCAGATGTCAGGCTTTACACACATATTCCCACACAATGCAGTCCGTGTGTGTTGGAAGTTTTTTGGGTTGAATTGATTCACTCTGCAAGCATATCTTAAATTGAGTTTTCTGCTAATTATATGATTAAATGTTATATGTCATCCTACAGTATATACATATCCAGTTGAGTCATGAATCCCCTGTGTAATTAACCTTTGAATATTTCTTACAACAATCATTAAAACATGACATTTCCATTTTTTCCGTGCTGCAAACAAACATCAATTTTCCCAAGCGACACCTCAGACTTGGCATATATTCAGTTACCTGCATATCAACATTGGCACAGTAATGAATTCAACGTGGGGGGGTTTCTGGAGAAGTTAGTTGCTTTCTACAGTCTGCACACATACTGTACTTTGATCTATAATGCAAGTTTGGGGATAATTTATGCTGCTTGTGATTGCTGCTCCTCTGATTTTCTTCCTACTGCTTATGTTTTATGCTTAATTTTTTTCCTTCATCTCTTTTCTTTCTTTTTTTTCCCACCCATCACTTCTTTTATCTGTAATTTTTCCCCTTCCTTTTACACACATGTTTTTTTTAATATCTCCTCCACATCCTCCATCTGTGTTTCTGTCTCCCTCTCTCCTCCTCTGCTGCTTTTCATCTATTGACACTTGTTTATACGCTCCCACCCATCTCCTCTTGAGCTCTCTATCTCCTCCTTTCATCTCCTCTCCGCTTTCTTCATAATGTATTCCTTCTCAGCTCACCTGTCGTGACACGTATCTGCTATATCACTTACTGCATGAGCTAGCATGACATCTCTTCATCTTCCCACTCCGTCATCCATTGACTCTCATTATAGTTGTGTCCCATTAACATACAACACTTGCCGACCGCGATGACTTTTTTCTACGTGTTTCCGGCGGAGGCTCACTCATGCCTGTTGAACTGACCTGACATCCTTCTCCCTCCTCTATAGTTAATGAGACCACACTAGAGGTAGTGGACTCCCAGGAGACCAACATCACCGGGGCTGACACCACCCAGTGGAAGCTCTATGGTTTGGAGGGGGGGAGCCTCTACCGCTTCCTCCTCCGCGCCTGCACTGCAGCCGGCTGCGGCCCCCCGCTGACCCAGGAGAGCAGCACTGTAGCCCTAGAACGTGAGTGGAGGAGATCAGTGTATCTGTTAATGACATATCATTTGCATTGCTTAAGGTATGACAGCCCCATTAAAGAGTTTGAAGTACACGTCAGACCTAGTTATAATAATATATAGATTTAATTACTACAGAGTGGACATATTTATTCTAGGAGTAACTGTACTATACCTTAAAATATTATTTTAATAGTTACGGGAAGTACTAATCAGCCTTTAAAAACAATGGCATAATATATTCTGTTGTTATAGAGGACAGTTTGTCAAGTCTCAAAAATGATATCAAAAATGATATCAAGGCTTAGAAACCTTGTAAATTACCGAAACTGTGACGCTACAAACTTATACCATGCCGTTGCAATGTTCTTTGCATCTCTTACATATTCCTGCCTCTTTAGAGTTTCACTGTCAATGATGAAATGATGAAAACTATTTCAATTTCGCCCTTCACACAAATACATTTTACTAAATTACTTTACAATGAAGAGAGACAATGAGAATAGAAGCTGAGCAAACACAAGCACAGAAGGATCAGTAATGTAACAATGGAGCCACAGCATAGCACCAGGATTAGTTATTATTAGATAATGTTCGAATAGAGATGGGAACTAATTGAAACAAGTAAATCGTGTTTCAAAAGTTTGCGTATCAAAAGTTACGGCGCCAGTTTTCATATGATAGTGGTTTTAAAAATCCAACAAAACTGCAGCAGCAGAGGCAGTCGATGGTCATTTCGAGCTTTAGTAAAAAAAGCTACAGGACTTATTTTTGTAGACATATTTTTGAAGGATACTCGGAACTAGTATAGCCCACAAACAGGAGTGGTGTGTTTTGCTTTTATAGTTTTGATTTGGAGTCAAGCAGCAGCATTATGAATAATGTTATCCTCCAACTCCTTTAAAAAAGAGCAGTGAGAAGTTACAATGGTATGCTTGAGATGAGAGCATGCATTAGCTTTGTGGCATTTTGCTAGCTTGTGAGTGTCTGTATCCTGGTGCCGTATTTCACACATTGTCTGAGATGTTGGATTACAGATTAACTTGATTGGGTGAAAGAATGCTATTTTGGCACTGCTGCTGATTTGCGATTCAAAGCTTAGTTTGGACTCAAAGACACGTCTGAATCAATCTGGGGAGCTAGAGATCCAAAATCCTCTTTGATGATGCAATGTCTGAGTGTAGAGGCATTTCTGTTTCTTTTTTTTGGACTTCAGATAGTATTTATTTAGTTTTTCATTGCCGAAATAAAGGACGCAAAGCATTCTTTTTATTTGGCCCAACTGAAATGTATAACCATGTGTCATCTGCAAAGCTATGAAAATTGACATAACACTCTTTGAAGGCATCACCTAAATGAGGCATGAAAATGTCTTAAATCTGACTGATCATCGTTTCCTGTTGGTGGCTGAACATGATATCTGTAGCACTTGCATATAGTTGATAAATGATGGCGATGGATTTTATATTACACAATCTCTTAATGACCTTCAGTTTTCATCAGGTGGTTGTTCAGGATGTCATATATTTCAACTGAGGGAATTAATGAGCTGATAAGTTCATAGAACAAAAATCCCTGTAGGATCCTATCCAACAAATTGACTTTACACTGTCATCTACACTGAAGCCAATCATTTTGACATTGTATAGCATTATAGCGTTCAGAAAATGCTAATGACAGTTCTTTAGTTAAAATGTGTGCCTTCTGGTATGTTTTGCTATCATCATATGGTTTCTTTCACTAGAGTGTGCCAAAGCCAGAATTGCATGTTATACACTGAACAAAAATATAAACGCAACACTTTTGTTTTTGCTCCCATTTTTCATGAGATGAACTCAAAGATCTAAAACATATCTATCATAACATAACTATCACAGATTTTTTCAGATTTGTGAACAATATTTGAGAGAAATGGTTATTTTGTGTAGATCGAAAATGTTTTAGATCTTTGAGTTCATCTCATGAAAAATGGGAGCAAAAACAAAAGTGTTGCGTTTATATTTTTGTTCAGTGTACTTGCTAGTGACTTTAATGTGTTTTAGTTTTTTATTAACCTTTAATTTAACAAATAATTCAGGCAATCTGACTAGTATGGGAATCATTACCTGCCACCATTTAGTTTAACTGTTAATTTCAGCCCTCGTAGTACACATTTCTAAGTTGTTTTAATAAAAGGTATTCATTTCTCTCTGGCTTTTAAATTTCCTCAGAGATGCTCTGCATCTTGTAGATGTATGTCCAACCTGAGAGCCGTTAGATGCACTGTTTGTAAATGTGGTTTGGTAGGGGGCTCGGTGGGGAGATAAACGGTTCGGTTCTGAGCGCTGTGCTCGGGGTACGTTAGTCACAATGCACCAGAGCAGATTTATGGATGCCAATAGCACAGAGCAGGGGCACCATAATTCTAGAGTTGATGATGGGGGGTCATGGAGTGATGGCGAAAAAATAAATGTATGTGAGTTATTGAGCCGCGGTTATGAATGGCTCCTTTCAAACTTTACCTGGTGAGCTTTTAATGCTTATTATTAAGTCAGGATAAATCATAGCTTCAAAAATGGTCTGGACAAACAGATTGCCATACCAGAACAAAAAACAGCCATAGAGGTTTCAGCAGATGCGTGACCACATGACTCTTTGAAAGGCTTGGAACAAAAAAAGAGAGTGGCTGAAGTGAGAGACAGAACAGCATCACAACAGAATGATGGCGTGAAGCATCTGTGAGAAAGATGAGCAGGAAAAACGAAAAGAGAAGATCTAATGGCAGAAAGAGGAAAATATAGATCTCATGATTCAACAAAGCAACAGAGATAAAGCCGACTGCAAACGTGACAAAGAGTAAATAGGAGCATTTCCCTCCATAATAAAGAGGTGTTCATCTTCAATAGAGTCAGTAAAGGATTCAACAATCAGAGCAGAACAATCTGTCAGTTTAGCGAAGTGTCATACGTTTTAATATTCAAAATGTTTACACTGGACAACGTGAGAATTAATACAGGCAACCACATGTGCGAATTAAATGATGTTTTACAAAAAAGTAAACCAGTGGTTTTAAATTAATTCCATGTTACAATGGAAAATGACAAACTCAGTCAGTAAGCAACACATATACAGATTCTGTTGCTGTTCTGTTCTGTTGACAACGTATATACAATGACTGTTTGTCTATCTGTAGACTGTATGACCATGGAGATGTACAGTATACAGTAGCATGATTCAGTATTTAGCTGTCCTTCCTGAAACTAAAAACAACTAAACAAAACATACTGCATAATACCTGTTTAGCAACAGAAGGCCAACAGACACAGACATGTAGTAGCTGCCCACAGTTGGTAAAAAAAAACCTGAATATTATTCTTGTTAAGCAGGTTTAAGAAATGTGTGTGTCTGTGGATATCAGTTGAACAGTCCTTTTAATTAAACTGGTAAAAACAAATGTGTTGAAATATGTCTTGTTTCCTGCTTGCAATTAGAAAGCACATTTATTGGGAGGACAAAGTGTATGATGTTTTTTTTCTCCACGGAGCCCTCTCGTGGTGCAGCTCTCCACCAGTCATCAAATCCAAAATCCACCTGTGTGCGGTTGTATTTATGAGGATGCACTGCCCACGTAATTGTGTGTGTGGGTGTACATGTGTGTGAGTTTATGCCTGGTCTATAAACCTTAAAGCTGGCTTTCCATATATCTGTAATCTTCTGCTGTATTTCATTTTATTTTTGTATCCCTCTGAAGATTTGTCCCCGACTCCAGCTGGTGCCCCTGTTCAGAGCAGTATGTATTACCGCCTGCAGCCACTGCCCTGCTCACATAGAAGAAGTAGTTGTAGACATAGTCAAGGTTGTGTGTGTGGGTGTAAGTGTGTTGTGTGTTGTTGTAGCAAATAGCTGGCTGTAGCCTCAGTAAAGGTTTGTCCTTAATAGTTGTATGGATATTGTCAGTGTTGGAAGAAGTCACTCACATCCTTTACTTAAGTACAAGTACAAATACTAATACTATAAATAACTAATACTTAAAATACTCCACTACAAGTAAGAGTCCTGATTTCGAATTGTTACGTGAGTAAAATTACAAAAGTATTAGCATGAAAATGTATTTAAACTACAGAAAGTACTCATTCTGGACAATGGCCCAATTCAGAATAATAAAAAGTACAGAAATATTATCATCTAAACCTACTCCAAGTTTAAAAAATAAAAGTAATCGTCATGCAAATTGAACTTATCACAGTATTTCATTATTATGGTTGTTATACTATCCTGTTTTTATACTTGTAAAAACATTTTAGCATTGTGGTTTTGTCGATGTGGACCAAATGTAGATACTTGAAGTGCTGTGTAGCTTAATAGTAGAATTTACCATTTTACTTATTTATTTTTTTATTTTATCAGCATATAATTTGTTTATGTACAAAGTAACTGAGTGAAAATAAATGTTGTGGAATAAGAAGTACAATATTTCCCTCTAAAATGTAGTGGGGTAGAAATATAAAGTACCATTAAATAGAAATACTCAAGTAAAGTACAAATATGTCAAAAGGTGAATGTAGTCTGTTACTTTCCACCACTGGATATATTTTTGGGTATTTCCTGACTAACAGCTCAGGAAATACAGAACATTTATTTTTAACAGTTTTTGACAGTTGCGCTTTGAATTCACATGTGCTATTTAGACCCAAACAGTTAAGGTGTGTTTACTATCATCCTCAGTGTTGTCGCACAGTTTCTTCCATTAATCTAGTTTCCCCGGTTGCTCTAACAATCCTGCCTTCATGTAGTCTATAGAGCTCGCTTGTTGCACAATATAGAGCATTAGACCTGACAGCTTTGCAGCAGGAATCTAACATCTGAGGCTTCTCTTTCCTTTCAGGCCACAACTGCTCTCTCTCTTTTCCCAGCTCTATCTCAGGCAATTCTACTCATCTTCCTTTAGGTATATAGCTCACACTCATACATATACAGCCAATGAAACCCCTGTGTAAACCCCTCTTGATGTATCGTCAACTTTCAGCTAACAACAGGATTCGAGACATGGAGTCGTTTCAATCTATTCTGATAGACCATGTTAGAGTTGGCGTCAGAAAATGTCAGCTTTGCTTAAGAGAGAATGAAGACTATGTCACTCCCGCCCACGATCTCTCTATCTAACCTTTATGAGCCAAAATCCAGCTCCACTCAATTAAGTCTGGGGCCCAGCGTCTCCTTTTGAATTGTCGTCTTGAAGGGTTTCTGCTAGCTGAACTGTGCTCAAGCTGCAGGGGAAGCTATTTGATCCGCTAATCCTATTTTCCTGCCTCTTTCTCCTTTTCTCTGTGCCTGCCTGTGTTTTATTTTCCTCCTTCTATTTCTTCTCTCTTTATCAGTTCCAGCCTTGTTGAACGTAAGCTCTTATGTGAGTGACACCTTTGCCAAAATCAGCTGGACTGCCATAGAAGAGCAGCAGGACTGGGAGCTTTATGTGGCTTATATGAATAACAGTAAGCTACTTTTCCTGCTAAGCATTGATGGGAATTTTAGGTAACACATGTGTAGATGCTACTGAGAAGGTTTTATATAAACATATATCATAAGCCTAGCGTCTGCATTGCTACAACCATTATTTCTATGATTACCCTTAAATATATTAACATGCTTTTAAAGTTATTTACATTTTTTGATTTATATCTCAACAACGATTCTGTAGTTGGCAATAGCTCATCCTTTCTTCTTTTTAGATAGCGTGGATGCTAATACAGACTTGCTGCTTGTGTGTAGGTGATGGCTTCTGGCGGATTTCAGAGGCTGTAAACGCTTCTCAAAGTTTCCATGTTATTGATGGGCTCAAACCTGGGACGGTGTACACTGTGCGCCTCATGTCCAAGAGGCTGCTCGATAACGCTAGCATTTTTGAAGACGTTATCCAAACTCGATTACAAGGTGAGAGGAGAGAAAGGCGACGCAGTCTGTAGAGTTTAGAGATTCGATCTCCCACCTGCCACATAAATATAATTGACAAACAAATATCAACTGTGGTGAATGTGTGAGTTTAGTTTTTTTCTTGCATCTCTGTGCATTTGTTATTTCCTATTTGATATTCCTTCAGAAGAGAGTGTTAGCTGAAGGGATTGTGAGAGCATCCTCTCTCAATTCATCATGATTTATTTCAGTATGACCCCTTATGCACACAGCATCCAAGTCTATCCTAGACTTGGATGCTGTGTGCATAAGGGGTCATACTGAAATAAATCAATGTGTAAAGGACATTTTTGAGCTCTGTGTCTCTTTTCTGTTTGCAAACACAGGTGCTGTAGGTCAGAAGAGCAGTTTTTCCACCCAGGGCTGGTTCATCGGGACCATGTGTGCTGTGGCGCTCCTCACCCTCGTGGTACTCATGGCCTGCTTTGTGCGACGGAACAGAGGTGGCAAGTATGCAGGTACGCCACCTCCGACCCAGAGACAAGAAATGTTCTCCATGGAAAAAGGTCAGTTAGTTTTGAACTAGGGTTGGGGGCCCTTGTCGTCTCACTTCAGACAGCAGCTGAACCAACATTGAACTCATGGTATGTCAAATGTATCAGTCTGACTTGGTTATAAGCAATTTAAGGTCTCTCAGAAATCCTTAAACATCACCATTTCTACAAGATGACGCTTTAATTTGACTTTTTTGATTTTGGTTGACCTCCTGAAAGAATTAAAATGTGCGACAGGCCTCAACCCTGACCTAACCCCCTCGACCTCGTTTGGAAATGCTTCCTGCATGCATGTTGGCAAACTATGCATGCTAACCCTGCCAAACCCAGTTTGGTTAACTCCAAATTAACTATCCGTGGGATGCTTGCATCTACAGTTTGTCTACTGCTTTGTGAAGTAATTTGTGTGACCCTGTTAGTTCTGCTCTGTACTAGGGCTGCACGATTTTGGGAAAAAATCTAATTGCGATTTTTCTGACAGATATTGCGATTCGAATTGCGATATTTGTTTTTCAGCTACCCAACGGAAGTTTATTGTAAAATGCGGCCAGAACTCCGGCTAGGAAGGTCGTATCAACGTGCTCCCGTCTCTAGCACCCCCGCAGCCCGAGCTACGAGTGAAAAAACTAAACTTACATGAAACTTCCGTTGGGTTGCTTTAAAGTCAAGCTTCAGTTTAAGATTCACCCTGTAATAGAAACATGTGATGGAGCATTACTAACCTGACTCAGAAACCATCTAGGAAAGCTCCATTGGAAGCCATTTGGAAAGGGCAGGCACTTTCAAAAGCACTTGGCAGGTGATTGGATCAATCTGTCTATCACCTTCTATCATGGGCAACTTCTGATTGATTAACAATGGCTGGTACATGTGAAGCACAGCACTTCTGATTGTTGTGGATGACTGACACACAATAAAAAATAAAATAAAAATGTTAAAAAATAAAAAGATTATAAAAATATAAAAAAAATGTTTAAAAAAATCGCAGGCTTTGCGATTTGATAATCGCATCATTTAAAATCGCGATTTCGATTTAAAATCGATTAATCGTTCAGCCCTAATCTGTACCTCTGATTACATACCTTGTCAAGCCAGACAGTGGGAACCAGCTGGCTTTGTTCCTCGCCTCACCTGTGCAGACCTTCCTCCTTCCCCTGCACCTTTGTGTTGTATCAGAGCCGAGTTTAATCTCACCTCGGTTCTACCTGCCAAGAGACTCCTCACTCACTTTCTCTCCTCAACCTGCTCCCCCTTCTTCTCCCTAGAACTCTTACCTCTTTGCCTGCAGTAGCTTTTTTGATACGATGCACTGAATATTTCATCTGCTGCTTTGGATTCCCCCTTTGCCCATCTAGCTCTTTTCATGAAACCCCTCTTTTGAGTCTCTTGAAAGCAACTGGTATTTTTAAAGCATATTTGCACAAAGAGCTGCTGTGTAGCACTTTGGGCGGACAAACAGAAGAGAGGCTTTCAGTGTGCAGAATTGATAGAATGTTTACTCAGTCATTTTAAGTTGTTCTCAAAAGCTTTTCATTCCTGACTTTTAAAATGCAACTCCTTTATACACTCAAGTAATGGAAAAGTTCAGTTTGTTTAATCCTTTACCTACCAAACATTAATGTTGAGCTTGCTCTGGCTGTATTCTAAAAATCTTCTGAGAGAGAAAAGTCACTGACGTTGGTAAAAATGAACAAAAGGGTGGTGCTAACATTTGAGTTATTAATCTTTGGAAAATGTTAACGCTCCAATCCTTTATTGAATCATGACCCAGTCTTACAAGTCATATGTAATTCCAACCACGAATGAAAGTGCTGCTCTTTGACATGCTATTGAAATGTGTGTCCTGCCTCGTTCCTGCAGTGAAAGAGAAGGAGGATCTCCACCCGGACCCGGAGTCGCAAGGATTGAATGAGGACAGCTTTGGTGACTACAGGTGAGCTAAACTCCTGCTGTGTGAAGAAGAGCTGCATTGCCAATGTTTGCTTCAGAAAAGGACATGTTTAAATGTGCTGAGCTGGAGCAGTATTCATCCAGCAACCACATTTGTTAAATATTTTCTGGCTTAGAAACTAATGTGTCATGTCACGGTTATGTTTCTTCTCTCCCTTCCACAAAAGCAAAGCAAACGTTCATGAGCTTTACGAGGATCAGCCTAGGAGCCATTGTTCTCGTCATTTAATGGGCTAGGTAATCCCATGGTGTAGTTAACAAGTGTTTGCAGCGTTGTTAGCTAACCTGAGCTTGCACCCCTTTTGTAGGAATGATGTGCTCTTGGTCCCGTAGGCATCAGTAGTTTATTTTGTGTGTTGCAGTGTGTATACCAATGAATGAGTGACTATTTAACACAGAATGTCTTATGTTTAGAATACATAATTGTCTGGTTCTGTAATATAATACTACCCCCACTTTAAAGGTCCCATATTATACTCTTTTTGAACAATATATTATCGGTCTCAGATATATACAAAACATGTCTCTGAAGTTTTTGGTTTGAAATACCAAACAGATCATGCATTGTAGCATGCCATTAACCCGTTTCCGCCCTCTTCCAAAAGTGCTAATTCTGTGTCTGTAGCTTTAAATGCAAAATGGAATGCTGCTGGCCACGACCCTCTGAGAAGTGATTGGTTTAAAAAATAAAAAAAAACACACACACAATGGTGCTCTAGGAGGAGATTCAGGTGATAAGGTGGGCGGGGGTTACCTTGGTTGGTTATTGGCTTATGGTTGCACAACCCCAAAAAAAGTTGTGACATCACAAAGGGCCAAAATCTGATCAGCTCATTATCAGGACAAAAAGGGAGAGAATCTTTTTTCCTGAAACTTTCAGAATCTCTTTACACAAAGGGGACACGTATTTATCTATAAAAGACATGAAAAAGTGGATGTTGCATAATAGGTGACCTTTAAAATACATATATAAATCGTTTTACTTTTAGGCCATTGGCCTACACTTTTATTGCAGAGTTCAAAACGTAATAGAGGTTGTCCGCCTTATACTGTAGCTCAATTGGTAGAGCTGGCCCATCTACTAGGGTTTATCCCCAAGTGAAGGACCATTTGCAGCATGTCATTTCCTCCATCTCCCCGTTTCAATTCTGTCTCGACAATAAAATAACTGGTTTAGTTAAGTTTAGTTACTTCTCAAGCAGTGTATCCCGAAGGGCTGGAGCTCACATCTAAAGATGAAACTTGTTGTTTTGTTTCTGAATTCGCTTTACTTGAAGTAAATGGCAGGATGGAGCACAACGAATGGTGGTAGTGTGACCCCACTTAGCAAAGCATTTCTTAGACAACAGCTGTAATGATATTACTTATTTAAGCTCTTACATCAGCATCCGACTGACCCCATTAAGATTATGTTCAAAGCGACTCTAATGTATAAAGATGTATTTGAGTACCTGTGCTTAACTGGAGTTTTGACAGACTTACTTTTAAACCCTGATTTACCTTGTGGATTAGTGTGTGCTGTGGAGCATTCAAATGAAGGCCACATTTTTTATTGCTTTACATCCTCCCACTGTAAACACGTAAATTGATTAATGATGTATAGTAATTTCTGATGGGAAATATCTTACATTCAATAATACAGGCATAACGAAAGCATAGAAAATGTGTGGAAAAACTGAGCCTTTAAGCCAAAAGCAGACAGCTGTTTTACTTTACAATAGCTCTTGATTTTCTATTGTTTGCATTGTTAAGCTGCTACGGTGACAGTTTAGGGAAATGGGATGATCCTATTTTGCCTGACAGCACTGCAGAAACTGTGTGACAATGGTGTATTTGTTTGTGCACACGCAAGAGAAATCACCTAAAATAGCCTCTTCCGCTTTGATTCTGCTCGTCATCATATTATTCAGTACATGATTACTCACAACTGCGTGGTTGCTGCCAATTGCATTTCTGCGATTCTTGCCAAGACTGTAATTCTGTTGAAAAGGAAAGGATGCATTGTCCACAGCCTTGATTACAACTACATAGCATTTTTGTAATAACAATGGAAAACCAAGGGCTCACTGAATACGGTGCAGATTTCAACCAAACGTTAAGTATTGTTATTTTGTCAGGTTTGACACTGATGAAAAACATGTAATGCTGGGAGATAACCCAATTTGATCACACATTAACTTTCATTGATGTGATTATTTGGTAATGTTGTGTAACAAAATGTAGTCGTCCAAATTAATAAATATTGTGCTGTTGATTTTAACTCTCATACAAAGTTCACGTAGGAGCTCATGAGGCAAGGGAAACTGCTAATATGAGTTTGTGAGATGATGCAGATGTTTGGCTACCTGGTTTCTTTCATGAGGCTGTTCTGCCTACTGTTCCCCCAGAGTGCCCTTAGCCTCACTATGATGTGGTTTGCCTGGCTATAGAGCTGGTTTCAGGGCTCTCTGGTGCCCTTTGAATCTCTGACGGCAATAGACCACCCACTGGTATGCCACGTGTCTGGGGAGCTGACAAGTGGTAATTAGGCTTCAGACGATTTCTCTTCGGAGGCAGCCCTCTGCTCTCTTGCCCCTCTGTCCACTGCGAGAACAGCAGGTGCCGTAGCTGGAGCAGGCTGTTAACCAACAGTGTAATGCCATTTTTTCCACAGCTGAATTTTATTTGTACTTTCTTTCATCTTGGCTTTCATCGTCAGTTAGGCAGATGGCAGCCGATGTGGACAAGCTCTCCTTCAGTCACCTTTACTAACATAAATACAACTTCAGGTGCAAAGAGGGGGAAATAAAATCCTCCTTCCACATGAGGTTTCTGGGCTGCCCCCAAACCAGAGTCAGCATGGGTCAATGGTGAAACAAATGTAATTACAGTCTGCCTGGCGATGTGCCTCCATCTCTCACCTGTTTGAGAGGCTCCGGGAAAGCCTTTCCACAGCAACAGCTGAGACAGAGCTGGATGCGGACCAAGGGCCTGAATGAGAGCTGGGGCTCAAAGGCCCTCAGCCCCATTTTATCAGAGTATTCAAAGTCACTGTGGGCGGGCTGCGGCGGCTATTGCATTCCTCTGCTCTTAGATAACAGCCACTTATCTTCAGCGCTCTAGAGTCGCCAGAGAAAGGAGGTTTGATAAGAGTTGAAATGCGGACCTTATGTGGCTTGCATGGTAAACGGCACCATGGAATAGGAGAGATAAGTTTGATTATTAAAAAATCCTTATGAAGGAGACCCGATTTGTAATCTTAACTTGAACCATATTTCTTCTCCAAAATGCTGCTCGAAATGTTGAGCTTGTAGATGACACAGGTGTCAACTACAGTGAGACTCAAAGGGCACTATCACATACGAGACACCTGAGTGTTGTCTCTGAATGCAGGAGCACTGTGTTATGAATACTAAACCCAAGGAGAGAGAGAGGTTTCCAAACATGGCTGGTTTGGGGAATTAAGAAAGAGAACAGGCAGGGAAAATATCCTCAGTGTTTTGAGGTGACCCTGCGTCTTGTAGTGAGACACCTGCGAGTTGGCCAGTTGCCCAGCCCTAAATTGGCATCTAATCTCCTCGGCCCTCGTGTGGGGCCCCCGGGAATACAGGGAGTGACAGGCTGTTTGTCTGGGATTGCATATGCCCCACCTCTCCCCCTCCTCTCCTTCTCCCTTTCTCAATCTAAACCCCCTCTTCCCCACACACGCATACACACAACTCCCACTCGTCTTCTTTCTCACTGCACTCTGGCAATTTCCATCGCTGGTTCTAAAGAGATTTGAAATTGCCTTTGGTCTTGAAGCCTTGGCAATTAGCAATTAGTGAAGTGATTGTAGCAAGCCCTCCCCGCCTCCCTTGTGCTCCTTTTCCCGCTGTGTTGCCGCCGCATCCACCCGTGACTACCACCCTGTATTGATGTATTGAAACCATAAGACCTCGCTTTGTGTGTGTGTGTTAGTGCACCCAAGCATTTAATAGTCTGTATGTACTGTACACGCTCTTTATGCCGTGTGTCAGCCTCTTAGTGTCATATTGCCTCTGAACATATGCACTGACCCTGACCATCCTTCTGTGTTGTCTTTGATGGCAGTGACAGCGAAGAGAAGCCACTGAAGGGCAGTAGCGTGTGTTCCCTGAATGGCGCGATGGGGGACGGCGTCAGCAGAGACAGCATGGTTGACTACGCCGACGGCGGACGAGAATTCAACGAGGACGGTTCATTTATTGGAGAATATTCCGATCGTAGGCACGGAGGCTCTGTTAGCGAGCCCAGTGGACCCAGACCAGTCACTGCATAAAACCAGGCTCCAAATGCAACGGTCTACTTCAAATCCTTTCAAGATACTTTTCAAATTCCGCTTCCCTGGCATCAAATATAGCTAGAGTATTTAAATACGGGGGAATAAAAATGACTCAAATGTGCAGAAGTTTGGCTCAGGGACTGGAAAAGGAAAAATACACCCACCATACACATCAAATCAAGAGTTGTTGTATATACTGTAAGAGAATTAACTGTATCTTTTGAGTTTTTCAAGATTATTAAAGTGTTTTTTGTACCTATCAGCCATGATCTTCAGCTGTGTATATTGATTGTTAATTTTACAAAAGGTAGAACACCAATAATTTTTTCCTACGATGAAAAAACTCTGAAAATGTCCCAATTTTTTTACACAGAGGATGACAGACATTAGAAATACATATGCATCTCGAAACTAAGTTGATTCATTTATTACAGTGGAATCAACATAGTCATAAATGCTTTACTGCCCATTACTGTATTATATATATATATATATATATATATATATATATATATATATATATATGATGTTTTTGTTTCTGATGTGTTATAATATGCAAATGTATGAAAGATCAAAATGTGTGTCTTTTTTTATTATATTTGTAATTGTACATTGCCATAAACATCAATCAGGCGACGAAAACGTAAACATAAGATTACAATTACAAATCAACGGTATATATTGTAAGTTCTTTAGCAAGGTGGTCAGAGTGATAGGTGTATTGCTGCATTCATCTCTGCAGTGGAATCATGAATGCATTTATCTAAGGAACTTATCAAAACTTTAAATTGGTGAGCTTTCACCTTCAGGCCCCAGTAATGAAAAGGGAGTTTTTAAACTCAAGCAAGTTGTCATTGACTTTTTTAATCATGTGCCTTTATTCCGCTGGATATCGCAGTATGAATCACATTACATTCCAGTTTAAACGATCAAGCAGCTGGGATATTTATTTTCTGGAAATTATTAATGATCAGTACTTCCCTTCCAGTTTTTATTTAAACTCGGTGCAATGATTCATCAGACTTCATTTGCTGCTCCTTTTTGTAAATTAAAAAGCATCCACTTATCTGGTAAGCTCACTTTCAAGTTGAGATGTCCTTCCCCTGAACATTGAATGTGAATATATTCTAAGAAAATGTATTCCTGGGTTTTTCGCTATTTACAAAATAATATGAAGCGCCGAGTGATATGATACAAACATGACTGAATTAAGCTATTCTCAAAGATCAAACACATAGCAAATCCCCAAAATATACTTTTTTATCCAAAATGTATGCAGTGAATCCTCTCATGCATAATGCATGTTACTGAAATATTAATCAAGGATACAAGTAAAGTTGAGATTGGTCCAATTCAAAAGTGTTACTTAACCAATTAAACAGGATTCAGTAGCATTGCCTGCTACAGAGTACTAAAGTGTTTAACTCACTAGAGGCTCATTTTCTATCTCTAAGATTGACCATTGAGTACTTTTAAGATACAAAGACTTTCTAAAACAGAAGATTTTTGAAAACTTAAGAGATCCAGTTAGACGTGTGAAGGCGAATCACAGAGGACTATGTTTCATATTGAAGTGAGAATATATTTGGTCCACAGAAACTTTTAACAACTAAACTGCATGTTGTATGAGTTTATTTGAAGATATTAAAGACACAATCCTCCCACACAGTAAACATGAGAAAAATAACAGTCCAAAAATAAAGAGAGCTAAAAAAAAAGTCATATGATAGCAAGTCCAGCTCTGAAGTATAGTCAACATTGTAGTCAATCCTTCCTATTACTTGGGTTCAAATAATTGGAGCCAGATCCCATGGCTCCAATTATTTGAAACAAAGCAGTGCTTGGTCTCCCCTTAATTTTCTGAGGGAAAATATAGCACCTTTGACGAGGCAGAAATCCCAATTTGCAAAGATGGGAGATGATTGACTCATCCATCATTTGGTGGAAGCCTCTAAAACAGCCCAACATCCCCTCTGATTCACTCCATTATTTCTGAGTCTTCATGGTTCAGTAAGATTTTTTCGCTTATTCACCATCATTATTTGTCCCAAAACAAACCAAAAGTGAACCACTGTGACTAAAACAGAACATAATCCAAAAGCAGGACGATTCACAAAGTCACATAAACAGGTTTATTTTGCTTACATCCTTTCATTCCTTTAACTGGACTTATTGCATATCTCTAAAATACCTTAGAGGCCCTTATCTTCTTTTTTGAATACACAGCACAGCCTCCCTGTAGCCTGTCTATAGCCTGGTGATTATAAATAGCCATTGTAGCCGTAATCAAACCAGACTTGGGATAGTGGAGTTGAAAAGCACTCCATGCCTCATGGCAAGATAAAGGTCATTTAAAGAGGTAATCCCTGTATTATCAGGGATTACGCCCTCATCCGTTTTTAAAATTGCTTTCTCCGCGGAAGGTTAAAACCTCTAAACAACAACAAAAGATTACTCCAGTCGAATCCATGAGTGTCACATAGAGATGTTTTGCTCTGCTAAATCTATTTGGAGAACCTGCAGGTGACCCTTTTATAAAACCTTTTAATAGAGTCATAAGCCCTGTTTTGTAAAGATTAAAGGTCAGGAAGTTTACATGGTTTCATGTTAAATGGAACAGCCTTATTTGTCGCGCTGCCTTTGTTATCACTGCACACACCCATAGATCTGAGTTTAAAGCAGATCACTCCCTTTCAGTCAATTTGATCTGAGCTAATATTTAGGCTAAGTAGCCTGGCAATTGCCTGGTGGGAGGAAAGAAGTGAAGCATGGAGGGAAGATTTACATTTTCTTAGGGTGCAAGATGTTGAGTCGACGCTGTGAATACCCAGTCAAGAAGAAGGTAACACGGTGGTCATGAAGGTATCATCAATAATGAACTCCAGCGAGTTCAACGAGAGGGGAACTGTGATAGGTATCCCAGAGATGCTCCTATGGAAAACCTTCTATTTGTTGGTGGGTTTTAAAGCATTTGCAAAGGAATCTGCATCAGGAGTTAAACCAATGTCACAGCACAGGGACAAAGAGTTTTCCGGGGCCTATTGAAAGCAACACACGCAAACGCTCTCAAGGATGAGCTTTGAGCACTTCACCATAGAAATGGGTTAAGGGTGGGTAGAGAAAAAAGGGGTGGTGTATTGAAGGTTATTTGACTGCAGGCTCTTTATTCAAAACCTGCTTCAGCAGCAATGCAGATGAAGAAAATCAGCTCAGAAAGATGGCTCATGACCTTGACTCACAATCAGTATGACAGTGTTTTTATCTGGCATATTCCTCCAGCGGCCTTCACTCTTTGTCTGCATATTTTGAACTGGATATGGGACGAATGGCCACGCTTACCTTTTTTATTGAAAGCCCAAGCAGACTAACAGGAAAAATACATAGCTGTTCAGTCAAGAATGTCTAGACGTACATTCAAGATGCTGCTATTAATACTGTCTAAATGTGCTTTGTCTCTAAAACATTATTTCTGTCTTGTAACTGCATAAAAAACTAAAATAAATCTAAATGCATCAATATCTGAAATGAAAGTTCTTCCAGTCACAGTAACTCCTATCTAATTTCAGGTCTCAGGCGTCCTCCTCCCGCTTCTGCTCATTTCTTTTGTCATCTCAACATGGTGCTAGACTCACCTTCTGCTAAAATGTAATTTGTCTCACTAGAATGCAAATGGAATAGGATGATTCTGCATACAGATAATCCTTTTAGAGGGCTATTATTTCCCTGGTAAACTGCTTTAGATGCAAGCCCAGACACTCTCAAATGCCAGCCAGCAATTGAGTGGATGTTTGCTTGTGTGTGTGAGAG